TCTTTGCTCTCCAACCAAAATCCAACTAATGTCAGCAATGACATCCCTTGTTCCAAACCCTCTTCTGAATCTCCCAATCTGTGATCATTTCTATACCCAGTCCTAAACTCAGAGCTGGGGACCACTGTCACCTAGCTCTGACCACCTGAACTGAGTCTTCAGGGGGTCCTCAGATTCAGCACGGGACTGAGTACAATGGGAGTGGGGGACAAGGCAGATATGGGCCTCACTCAAGAGATAAGAGCCTGGGGATGGTCATTTGGAACCACCTGAGGGACAGTCCAGGCCAGGAAATTAGGAAATAGCATTTCCAACCCCCCTGACGCAGTTGGGCTGCGCTTGGGTTAGCAGGCCCCCCTTTAAATCTTAAGCCAAAAACATCCCTTGAAGTTTTCTTTAAACCAGACAACACACCAATAAGGGGAAGTGAGGGAAAAACAGCAATGAAGTGGTGAGCTAAGCCCTACAACGTTCAATAGACTCCTGTGAACCTGGATGGAGACCTGGTGGGCCAGCAGTGTGGCAAGACCTGAGGATGCGTAAGGCCCAGTCAGTGACATGGCCACAGAGGCTTAGAGTGGATTGTGAAGCGTCCAGCTTATAAGAAGAAAGGGCATATGCACAAGAACACCCACACTTGCAGGTAATACCCACTTGACCTAGCTTCAATGACTGGATGATCAGAGCTCAACCAAAAGTAGAAAGAAGAGGAAAAAAAAAAAAGAGTAATCTGATACAATTTGATGAACTTGACCTCCACCTATGGATGCAGTAGCTCAAAAGAGGGAATCAATTTTCACAGCAAGGATCATTCCCACCTGCTCCATACACAGAGTAGACAAGAATGGGCAACTTGGACATTGGCTACCCAAAATGGGGGGGCTAGAAAGGCAAGAAGTGACTGGCTTACAAGCTTTCAAGAGGGAACCTAGATCCAGAGGGCGTGGAGGAAGGTAGAATCTCCAGTGAGTTGTATCCAATCTGTGTAGGTGGGGTGGATGAAAGGAAATGGGGATAGGTCTCTTGCGATACATTAGTGAATAATTGTTATTAAGACTAATTGTGAGGGATGTAAATGTAAAGGTAGATGTTTTGTAGCAAGGAGGGGAGTGATTAACTTTGCAGTCTAGGAACGGAGGTCCCTGGGACCATCAAGGGAGAAGAGCGGTGATGCCTGAGATGGAAGCAGAGACGATGCCTACCCAGAGAAGCAATGATGCTTGAGATGGAGGCTGAGACGATGACGTAGAGAGATGGAGCAGCTGGGGACTTTAGACAGAGAGGGAGAGGGGATGTGTGCTGAAGACCAAGGGGCAGGCTTGTAGTGTATACCCTTTGGTTGGTTGATGATGCATGGAGGGGATTGTAACCATAGCAATGAAACGATATACGACAGGATGAATGTAAAACTAATGTTCTCCCATGTAAACTGTCACATAATTCACAATATTTTTTAAAAATAAAAATAAAAAAAGAGCAAGGTTCAGAAAAAAAACACACACAAGACAACACAGACCAAATCCAATTCTGACTCACAGTGACCTCATAAACCAGAATAGAACTGTCCCATAGGGTGGAATTTCCAACGTGAATATCAAAACCAACCAACCAACCAAATCCATTGCCAAGTCATTTCCAACAGTATAACAGAACAGAGTACAACTGCCTCATAGGGAGGGTTTCCAGGGCTGTAAATATTGACAGAAGCAGACAGTCACATCTTTCTACTTCACACAGGCTGATGGGTTCACATCGCTGACCTTTCCATTAGAAGCTGAACACTTAACCACTGCACTACCAGGGCTCCTGAAACCAAACAAACAAATAAAATTGTGCTTTGAGCACTGAGTTCTTTTAAGATCTGACGTTGTTGTTGTTAAGTACTGTTGAGTTGATTCCCACATGGGCTCAAACTGACAGCATCTTGAAAGGTTAGAGGAGCAAGTGGAAGGCTAACTGTTGCACAGCATTAGGCCTGGTAACCAACCACAATGAATTGCACGTGTAACGTTCTGCTGGGGATATTTTAACAACAACAACAAAAGATAAAAAGAAAGAAAACGGTCCCATCTCATGCTCTCCCCACCCCCGATCCTGGCACCTACCTCGTTCTCAAGGGCTTCACCTCTACCCCACCTACTCCCTGCGACGTCCTGCTTCTGTTCTCCAAACAGCAGCCAGAGGGAACCTCAAACTCACACAAACCCAACACACACCCTTCTATGGCTCCCAACTCTCCAAACAAAACCCAGACTCCGGGGTTGTCAAGAATCCGGGCCCATTCCACGGCGGTTCACAAGACCTCTTCCTAGTGAGACATTGTACATGTATTTGCTTGCACTGTCTATCTCCTTCCCCCAATGCAATTTAGCCTCCATGACAGTTGGAATCACAATCCGTTTTGCTACCCACCGTCCCCTCCCTTTCTACCCCGTTCCTAGGAGAGGCCAGACACGCAATACACGGGTACTGAATAAATAAAAAGAAAGCGAAGACAACGAACTGGGGAATTTTGTCCCCGGCGGTTTCTGTAACATGCTTTCATTCCCCAAAATCAAATCTCCACGGCTTGCGTGAGCTAAAGCTCGACCCCGCGGCGCCCAAGTCCCTGCGCGCAAAGGGCCCTTAGCGCCTCACCGGCTCTCTACGTCCACGTGGGGAACGGGCGTACTAGCAGCAGTCACGGCGAAGCCTGGCCCCTATCAGCCGCCGTACACGCGCAGGCGCGCTGGACCACCTTGCGCTCTCTCTTCAGGCCCGCGCACCGCTCTCGGGTTGATAGAGAGCAACTACAAGCTCAGGTAAAGCCAAGAAGGCCGTCTGATGTACGTCGGAGGGAATCTTTGCTGCCTTTTTCAGGTTACTTTTCCAGGGTCGTTTCCCCCCCGGCTACGAAAAATTTCGCCCAAATAAGGGGCAGCGCGCCTGCGCGACATTGCCAGGCGTCGGTTTGCGACTGCGCGGCAGACCCGCCGGCGACCTGTGCATGCGCAGTAGGGACCCAGAGGCAACTTGCGCCTGCGCGTCTTGGCGCTGCGGAGACCGTTGACTCATTTGCATGTCTCCGCCTCACGGCGGCGGCGACGGCGACAGAGTGAAGGGTCTGAGGCGGCGGTAGTTAGGTCGGCTCCGCGCGCGGTGGGCTCGGGGTGAGGCCCGGGGCAGTGTCGTCCTCGGGTGGACGTGGGGCGGGCGACTCGGCCCCTGAGCCTGGTACCCGCGGTGGCACCGCGGCGTCGACCCTTGGGCTGGCGGCGGCCGCGTCTGGGCCGGGTAGCGGCTGCGGCCTTCCGGGCCTGGCGCTCCCTTTTTGGGCCTTCGGAGGGCGGAGACGGCCGGCCACTCCTGGGGTGCTTTGTTAGCTATCTGGTTCATTCATTCTGCGGGGCCCGGGGCGGCAGTCGCCGTAAGGGGTGGGGCGGTAACGGCGGCCTGGCGCCCATTTTACAGATGGGGAAACTGAGGCACGGGAAGGTCAGGTTTCTTGCCTAGGGAAGGCCAGATCCAAGATTTGAATTCAGGCTCTCTGCCTCGGAGGTTCTACCCTTGGCTAACAGAGAGCATGGTGGGCTCCGGGGAAAGGGTCGAGGAGGAGGAGACCCGAGGTCATGGTTATGAGGTTAAAAAGGCAGTATCTAGCGGTTTAAGGACGCACGCAGCCACTTCGGTCTTGAGTGGCTTTTTGGTCACCAGGCTCTGTTCCTGCGGCCTGACGGTGGGTGGGTTTCTTACAAAAAGAAAAAACAACCTGAACCTGTTGCCCTTGAGTCAATTCTGACTCGGGTGGCCCTACGCAAAACCGAGCACCCTGGATTTTCTAGGCTGTGATCTTTCTGAAAGGAAATCTGGTGGTACAATTGGTGCTCTACAGCTAGGGGAAAGTTTGGCAGTGCAAACCAGGGCTTCAAACCGGTTTGTTCCAGTCGGACATCCCCTGCTTAGAATTTGCTTTTTCACCCCAGATACAGTGAATCCGAATCTATAGTTTAATAAGGTACCCAGGTGATTTGTATTGTTAAGTGCACTCAAGTTGGTTCTGACTCAACGGTGACTCCTGTATAGGGTTTCTGAGGAGCGGCTTGGTGAGCTTCCACTGTGCACCCTGTGGTTCAAACTTCAAACCAACGTGATTCTTACATGTACATAAAATGTCATTTTGTGCAGGCTGAGGGACCTGAGTGGAGCAAGTGCTTGACCACTACCGAAAAGATTGGACATTTGAATCCACCTAGTAAGATCAGCCTGGTGTGGTGCTGTAGGATAAGCACTGGACTGCAAGGTCAGTTTGAACCACAAGGTTTGTGGTTAAGACCTATCAGCTGGTCCTGGGAAACCCTATACAGGGTCGCTATGAGTTGGAACCAACTTGATGACGCTTAACAACTTAAGTAAATTCAGCAGTTGGAATCTACCAGCTGCTGGGCTGGAGAAAGATGAGGCTTTCTCCTCCCGTGAAGATTTATAGTCTCAGAAACCCTATACAGGGTTGCTGTGGGTCAGAATCAAATTGACGGCACTTCACAATAACAACCGTGCATTTGTCGAAGAAAGGCCTGGTCAGGGAATGAGCCAGGGTAGACACTGGCTGTCCTAATTGTCACTAATCCAGGGTTCTTCCACTCATGGAGAGGTGGTGGGAGGTCAGCTCTTGGACCTTCTTTTTTTTTTTCCTCTTGGACCATTTTGATGTGGTAATATAACCAGGATGTCTTTGCTGAGTTACATTCCCACGCTTTCCACTATATGTCCCGCTCTTCTCACAGGACCTCTCTTAATGGACTGAAGAAATGAGCTCAGAGAAGAAAATCATTTGTCCAAGATCACTTTCTGCTCCTCAAATGGCTCACACCTGAGGGTTTCCTGAGGGCCGAGGCACTCTCTAGAAGAGTCCAGCCTGTCCTCCTGAATTATCTTGCTGCATTATTGCCTTGTCTCTGAGGTAAGCATTTGTGGTCATTCTCAGTGCCTTTCCCCCACCCCACACTACAGGTCACAGAAGTATGGCAGCAAGGCGGATTGTGCAGGAGACTATTGATGCTGTCTTCCAAGAAAAAGCTAAGCGATATCATTTGGACCCCAGTGCTGAGGCTGTAGGTGAAACTCTTCAGTTTAAAGCTCAAGGTAAATTAAAGTGTGTTTTGAGGAAGACATCTGGATCCATGCAAGAGGAATTCAGTGCCTTGGGCAAACTATGATTCCCCGCTGGTCATTACTTTTCCTGTTTGTTAAAGAGAGATACAGTTTTCTCTGGGCCTACCTGTTAAATCACTGTGCAGACAGAGATATTGTTATTATATGGAGTTTCTGGAGAACTGATTCATTCATAGCTATCTGGTTCATTCATTCTGCGGGGCCCGGGGCGGCAGTCACCGGAAGGGGTGGGGCGGTAACGGCGGCCTGGCGCCCATTTTACAGATGGGGAAACTGAGGCACGGGAAGGTCAGGTTTCTTGCCTAGGGAAGGCCAGATCCAAGGTGGGCCTCCTTCCCCCACCTTAAGATGAGTCCTAGAATCAATCTGACCCACTGTCACTGCCCCACTTCCAGTTCTGCCCAGGTCTTGTTTCTCCTCACATCTCCCCTCCACTTACTGTCCCACAGAGCTATATGTCAGTTTCACTGTCAGTGAAGTGGGGCTCTCTGTGGCAGGGTTAGATCCTCAGATAGCACAGGAACAGTCAGGTAACTAGTGTGTTCTGTGGTTCAAATCAAGCAGAGCTGCTGAGCAGACCCTGCCTGAAAATGGTCCCTGGAAACCTTGGCATAATGTGCCAGCAAAGTCAAACAGTACCCACACATCCCTTAGCAGGACAGCACCGAAGCTCTTCATCAGGCACAAGACCCTTGAATTCTGTTTTCTGCCCCATATTTCACATGCCAGAGCTCCCTGCTTCACCTGGTTAAACCCTCAGACACGAGACCTGGTTCAGACCTGCCTCTCCCTAGAAGCCTCCCCAAGTTTCCTGGCTGAATTGCATCTCCTAGTACAGTGTGTGTATTCCTCAGCTGATGGCCTGGGGTAGGGTAGCTCCACAGGCTGCATGAGTTGACCCAGCTCTTGGCTGGAGAAGAGAGGAGTGTTGGGTGAGTGAGCGAGTGCCTGGCACTGAGAGAACAGTCCCTATTCACTTTGAACCTGGGGAAACAGACTCAGAGATTGTTTTTAGATTCTGAAATTTCAGATGTTACGTGAGCAATGAACAAAAACATTATCATTATAAGAAACTTGTACAATTAATTAGGAAGGAAGTGTAAAAGGCCTCTTAACTATGTCCCTTTAACCCCTTATAGGTAATTGTCCTTGATTTTTTTTGTGCGCATTTTTCCGTGTTTAGAAATATAATTCTAGATTAATATATAGTTTATGAATATTTAGATCTTGGTTTTTCATCATTTAGAGAATCAAATGCCAAAAACACAGCAATCTCTAGAAAAATTTGAGTGGAGAGAAGAACTAGAAATCCAGATAAGACTGGGTTGTTCTGGAACCATCTCTACCCACAGAACTGAACTTCTCTGCTTCCTTGTAAACCAGGGAATTTGTCAAATCTTGTGCCAAACCCAGCCACTATTCCCTGTAATGGTACCACCCAAACCATGCCCAGTCCTAGTAGTCACTGCCTGGGTGACTACTTGTCACGGTGGTCTCCACATGGACTTTTGCGTTCACTTTGCCCCTGCTATCTCTTCTCTTCAGAACCCTACAGGGACCTTCTGTCTCATTTGGAGTGAACTACAGGGTCCATTGGGATGTCTTCTCCCATCACAGTTCTTTGGCTTTATTCCCACATGTTAGAATCATCTGGGGACCTTCACAAGTCAGGGTGCCAGGTAATAGCACAACTTGGGAACCTTCTACCTACTCTTGGCTCCTCATTTGCTCTATGTCCCACTTGAAAGCTTGCTGCCTGCAGGCTACCTATAGCTATGCAGCCTAGCACCCCATTCCCTGAAACTGCTGTTCACACATTGGCAGAGCAGCTATCCCTGAGCAGCTCTGCACTGTACAAAGGTGGTGCTTGTCAACTGCCCCCACAATTATCATTTTTCCTTTCCCTTGTCTGTCCCACCTCACCTCTCCTTATCCCCTCTTTGCTTGCTGGCCTGCCTGCTCATCCCTGGCACTCACTCCTGATATATTTGTGGTCATTGTTTGGCCTCCACTACCAAACAGTCCCAGGAGAACAGGGTTCACTATGTGGTCTCCCTGGTGTAATTGCATGCTGAGAGCAGTGCATAAAGTTCATGCTTAGTAAAGAGTGGTGACAGGGAAGCCGGGCTCTGGCTTCTGTGGCCTCTCTGGTTCAGCATGACCTCACAACATCTCTCTCTCCCTTTATTTTTCATTCAGTTTATTTTTTTTTAAGTAAGTAATAGATTCTGGTTGAACAGCCAGTTAAAAAGTATTCAGTGGTAAATCGCCCTTGGTTCCCACACACCACAGTTCATGTGAGCTCCTGGCTTCTCTTATGGATCAACAAATGGCAGATTTGCATTCCAGTGTTCTCTTTCTGCACGGAGGACAGGAAGCACATACTGTTCCCTTTTTACCATGGCTCCCTTGGATGGAGCTTCTTAGCTTTTGCCTTCTCCATACCTTGCTACAGCCTTGTTGCTCAGTTCTGGAGAGAGGACTAATGGGCCCTGCAAACCTTTCTAGGCAAGATGTCTGCCACCCTGAGTTAGATAGGGGTGAGGGGTCAGCTATGGCATGGCCTCACTGCAGACTGGTCAGGCATGTTTCCTGCAAAGAAACGAGGACAGATGGTTACCATTGAACTTGAGACAGAAGCAAAAATAAACCTTCCAATCATAGTAAAAGATGTCTAGGTAACAGGACTAAACATCATTCATTCCCTGAGTCTAAAAGGGTTTGTCACCCTATGTTCCTTCAGGACAAGGAAGGGGGTCTGAAGGTATGAGGAGGTTAGAGGCTGTGGCTAGAGGCAAGACAGGCTCAGTGCTTCTAGTCTTCTGCTTTCCTAAGTGACAAATCCAGGTTTTTAAGCAAAGCAAGCATATGTTGATGATTAAAAAAAAGTAAGTTTGTAAAAAACACTGTAACCTCGGAGTACTGTTGCCTGGTGGTCCACATGTAGAGCCTCCATCTGAGTGTCGTGTGTGTTTCTCTTTGACTTGTGTGTTTCAGATCTTTTGAGAGCTGTCCCACGACCCAGAGCAGAGATGTATGACGACATTCACAGCGAGGCTAGGTACTCACTCAGCAGGTCGGTAGCCCATTCTCGGGACACTGGTAGAGAAGGCCTGAGAGGAGATGTATTTCCAGGTCCTTCCTTTAGATCCAGCACCCCGTCTGTGAGTGACGATACTTTCTTTCACAAAGACATGGACTTTTCTCACCCTGACTCTCGTGACCAGGTCTTTGGCCACCGGAAATTGGGGCATTTCCAATCTCAGGACTGGAAGCTTGCGCTCCGTGGCTCTTGGGAACAAGACTTTGGCCATCCAGTTTCTCAAGAATCCTCTTGGTCACAGGAGTATACTTTTGGCCCTTCAATACTAGGGGACTTTGGCGCCTCTAGGCTTATTGATAAGGAGTATTTGGAAAAGGAGAGTCAAGATTATGATTTGGATCGTCCAGGTGAAGCAGACTCTGTGCGCCGGGGCAGTGGCCAGGCACAGGGCAGAGGCCGTGGTCTCAGTATTATTGACCAGGAAAGTGCTCTCTTAGGGAAGGGGGAGACTCAGGCCTTACTTAAGGCCAAAGGGGATGTGGGGAAACTTGTCACACTAAGAAATGTGAGCACGAAGAAAACACCTGCTTTAAATCTTATTACTTCCAAAACTCAGGCAACTAATCAGATGCAGAAAACTGCCCTGAGTTCTGATGTAACCCTTGGAACCAACCCAGGGACAGAAGATATCCAGTTTTCTGTGCAGAAGATCCCCTTGGGGTTGGATTTGAAGAACGTCCGGCTCCCCAGAAGAAAGATGAACTTTGACATTGTAGATAAGTCAGATGTCTTTTCAAGGTTTGGGGTAGAAATCATCAAATGGGCAGGATTCCACACCATAAAAGATGATGTTAAATTTTCTCAACTTTTTCAGACTCTCTTTGAGCTTGAAACTGAAACCTGTGCTAAAATGCTTGCCTCATTCAAATGCTCCTTAAAACCAGAGCACAGAGATTTTTGCTTTTTTACTATCAAATTTTTAAAGCACTCTGCTTTGAAAACGCCCAGAGTTGATAATGAGCTTTTAAACCTGCTTTTAGACAAAGGTGCTGTGAAAACCAAAAATTGTTTTTTTGAAGTCATAAAGCCCTTTGACAAATACATCATGAGGCTCCAAGACCGGCTTCTGAAAAGTGTCACCCCTCTGCTCATGGCCTGCAATGCCTATGAGCTCAGTGTCAAGATGAAGACTCTAAGCAACCCCCTGGACTTGGCCATTGCCCTGGAGACCACCAACTCTCTCTGCCGCAAATCCTTGGCCCTTCTGGGACAGACGTTTTCCTTGGCCTCTTCTTTCCGGCAGGAGAAAATCTTAGAAGCCGTTGGCCTCCAAGATATAGCTCCCTCTCCTGCTGCTTTTCCAAACTTTGAGGACTCCACTTTGTTTGGAAGAGAGTATATAGACCATCTGAAGGCCTGGCTGATTACCAGTGGGTACCCACTCCAGATTAGGAAGGTTGTACCTGAACCAATGCAAGAAGAGGAGAAGACAACTTCCATCAAACCTGGCATTCAGACCAAGGCCCCAAGTGACCTGAGTGATGGTAAGGAAGGAAAGGTCTATTTGTTGTGGCTTGTTTGTTTTTCTGTTTTTTCGGACGTGTCTCTTACTCCCTTAAGAATTTTACCCAGGTGAGAAACTCTGTAAGCACCTGAAAACAAGTCAGGATTTTAGTAGGTAACTCACTTGGGTCAGTATAGTTAGTTCCCAGTGACATCTTACTTTTGGTGTGGTGCTGTAGGATTAGCACTGGACTACAAATCACAAGGTTGGCAGTTCAAACCCACCAGCTGCTCCTTGGAAACCTTATACAGGGTTGCTATGAGTTGGAACTGACTCGATGGCACTTAACAACAACAATCAGTAGTAAGTACGCTTTGTTCCGTATCGTCGAGTCTATTCCAATTCACAGCAACCCTATATGGGGTTTCCGAGGAGCAGCTGTTGGGTTTGAACCACTGACCTTGCTGCTGGCAGTCCAGTGCTTATCTTACAACACCACATCAGGACTCCACGCAGTGTTAAAATACACCTGCAAATTTATATGTAACATTTCCAACCCCCAAAGACAGGCCACATTTATAAAGATAATGAAAATGGAAGAAATGAGACATTGGACTTACATCAGAATAGACATACAATAGAGATATTGGGACAGAACTCTTGTCATAAGTTAGGGACTACCTGCATACGTGTCTGCCATCCAATTTAAACAAGTATTGGGAGTCTGTCCCTTCAGAAGTCCTGAGACATTCACTCTTTGAGGGTCTGATTTCTAGCAATAACCTTTGTCAGGAAAAGTGTACTTACATTTGCACAGTGTTTGGTTTTGACTTTTTATTGAATGAAGGTTCATAGAGCACATCATCAGTCTTATCGTTCAACAAATGATACACTTCGTTTCATCTCAATGATTGCAATCCCCTCCATGTAACATCACTTACCTCACTTCCTCCCTGTGATTCATGCTTCCATTCCTCTTTTCACAACCCTTCTGAATTTTGTCTCCTCAGGTAAATGCTGTTCTTTTGATCTTGAATGGTAGGCCATTCTATGGTGTGCATACCTCACTGTATTTGTCCACAGTTTTATCTACAATTTCTCCTTACAGTTTGTAACCTCCTGAAGCCAAGGTTAAGAGCCCTATTCCAATGGGCAGGTTTGACTAGAGGAAGAACACACCCCAGTCATTCGTTCTTCCGAGGAGTCCTCTGAGGAGAAGAATTGTGTAAGCAGCCATACCTGCCCTGGAACTGGCGGGAATGAGAGGCCCTAACTGTCCTGGAGCATCTGAGGCTAGCACAGGGCCATGCAGGCATCAGTTTGCTGACCTGGGTGGTGGAGGCACCTTTCCACCCCCACTCACCCTCGAGTGGGTACACCCAGGAACCAACAAAGCACTGGCTTAGTGTGGGTAGAAGGAGGGAGTCAAAACAGCCTTGCTTCAAGGAGTGGGACTCCCAGTCAGATGTGGCTGATGCTGCTACGAAACATGTCCCTGTCCTTTCTGTCATTTCTCTGCTTCCCCCACAGTGCCCCCAGCCCAAATGGGACAGGCTCATTCTGACAGTAGAGTCCCTCCTCACATGTTCCCCCCCTACCGCCAAGTGGTGGAGGTTGGAGTTAGGGTGACAACAATGCTGAAGCAAGTTGTATCAGGAGGGACTACTCACCACCCTGGAGTCAACCCCATATTGTGCAGTACTGTGATATGACCCTTAAAATCAGATGACCAGGTGCTGACAGGTGTGGAAAATGGTCCTGTGATACTGCAGCATTTGCTCTGTCATTTCAGTGACTTAATTATATTAGACTCCAGCACTATTTTACTAGGGCTGTGAAGCCAAGAGGCCAAGATCAAGTTCTACTCTGGGTGGAGCCAGCTGCACATTTTGATGGCTCCTACTAAGGAGCTAGCGTAGTGGTTACAAATTGGGCTGCGAACCTTAAGGTTAGCAGTTTGTAACTACCAGCCATTCCGTGGGAGAAAGATGAGGCTTTCTACTCCTGTAAAGATTTACAGCCTCGGAAACCCTGTACAGGGTCACTATGGGTCGGAACTACTCGAAGGCACTTAACAACAGCAACAACACTACCCATAGGAGAATTCCAGTATGGTGCTGCAGGATAATGTGCTCAACTGCAAGGTCAGTTTGAGCCACAAAGTCGTCGGTTCAAACCTACCAGTTGCTGTTCGGAAACCCTATACGTACAAGGTCACTATGAGTTAGAACCAACTCAACAGCATGCAGCCATCCATGGGGCTGCAAAGAATAATGGGGTAGAGAGGGGCCCTATACTGGATAGCAATCAATGTCAGGGTCACTGCTCCTGATCCATCTTGGTGGGGTTATTTGCTCTGATAAAATTCTTTGGTCATAACTATTTTTTTTTAATTCATTATTAAAATGTGGACAGATTACTAAAGTAACTTTTAATGTAAATTGGGTGAAGGTTTACTGAGCAAATCAATTTTCCATTTAACAATTCGTTCACATTTTGTTTCATGTCATTGATTGCGATCCTCACAATGAAACCTCACTTATCTTCTTTCCTAGGTTTCCCATTTACATTCCTCCTTTCATAATCGTTCTTAACGTTTCCTTGGGTAAATGCTGCCCTGTTGATTTCAAATAGTTGATAGTTAAAAGGAGTGGTGCTCCATGGTGGTATTGTTCCCTTTATAAACCTTTTATTTGGGTGAAAATTGAGCCACAACGGTAAGTTTAGTTCCACACCTGAAAGGTGATTAGGGGCCATAGTTTCAAGAGTTGTACCAGCTTTTATCTGACTATTAAGCCTGCTCTTTTATGATTCTGAGTTTTGTTCCACATTTTTCTCCCACTCTATCCAGGACCTTCTAATGTAGTCTAACCGCACCATCTAGTTCTGGTCTCAGGGTTGTGGAGGCTGTTCACGTGGTCTATTATTAGTACATTGGACTAACTATTTTCATGTATCTTCCATTTTCTTCACTGTTTTGTTCCAGATGGGGGAGACAAATAGTGTTTAAGACCCCAATCACTGCTGACCAAAGTAGAATGTAGAACGCTATGTTTGTAGACTGTGTTATGCCAATTCACTTTAGTGTCGCCTGAGACCTTGATCCTGAGCCACCCAGGCCTGTAACATTTTTATTTTTATTTCTATGACTCCCGAGAACTGTTGGGCCCACATACTCTGTTCACAGGGCTTCCTTCCGTAAGGGTGACTGGAAAGCCAAAAGGCCTCCTCAATTTGAGCCACATCTTCTCTTGTAAAATTATGTAAAACTAAGGTCTATAAAATAAGTACCAACAGAAATATGATTAAAAAATATAGTTTCATTAGGAAAATGCTTGCACTAACACAATTTATGGGAGAAAGATGAGGCTTTCTGCTCCCTCAGAGATTTGCAGCCTCGGAAGATCTTCAAATGCCATCAAGTTGGAGAGCTGACTTGATGGCATTTGACGGTAGTAAACATTACAGTTAAGGGTTGGCCTATGCCTTGTAGAAAGCTTATGTTGACAATCAGCGTGAGCTCGAGCCTCACCCCAAGCTCAACACAGATCTGTGAACCCATCATAGGACACTCGGGAAAATGGCTCCCACTCTGGTAATTTCTCTAGAGTCGTTGGGAAATCAAAGTATGTGCTACGTTTAAACCAGCATATATTTTAAGACTCAGTATTATTGTTTGGGGCTGCAGATGCGTTTCTGCATTGCTGGTGACATTTAAGTAGAACAGTCATTGAAGTAAATTAAACTCACTGTCATTGAGTTGATTCTGACTCATGGGCTCTATACAGGGTTTCTGAGACTGGGTATCTTACGGGAACAAAAAGTCTCATCTTTCTCCCACTGAGTGACTGGTGGGTTTGAATTACCAACCTTGTGATTACCATTCTAGTGCTTACCCTACAATGCCACACACCTTTTAAAAGTATGTTTTATTTTCATACATAAAGCACAATGTTTTTCTGTGAACACCTACCTTGGGAACATTGGCTTTCTTCAAAATTAGAAATTCTTTTGTAAATTAAAATTTTTTTGTGTGAATTGAGGGAAGGTTTATAGACAAGAGCCATCAACTTTACATTCAACAAATCATACACCTTGTCTTATCTCAATGATTATTTTTTGTTGCAAATGGACACAGCAAAACATACTCCAATATAACAATTTCTACAGGTACATTTTGTGTATTTTTCAAGATGTGCAATCATTCTCCCTGTCTTTTTCCAAATAATTCCACCACTGTGTGTGTTGTTTTCCAGATTATAAAACACATGTTCTATCTTTTTAAATTGCGAAGAATATGAAGTCACTGATAAATCTACCCCTCAGTGATAACCTACTATTATCATTCTGGTGTGTTTCTTTCTAAATCTTTATTTTTTTATCTGTGTCCATATTTATGTATGTCACTTCCCACATATGCATTTTATGTCTAGATACAGCTTTATATTTAAATACATTTTCTATCATTGAGGAGCAGCTCTGTTGGCACAGTAATTAAGCTGATTTGGAACCACCAGCTGCAGTTTGGGAGAAAGATGAGGCAGTGTGCTCTGTAAAGATTATAGCATTGGAAACCTTATGGGGTCAATTCTGCTCTGTCCTGTAGGGTCTCTATGAATCAGAATTTACAGTGAGTTTGCTTTGGTTTGGTATTTGGTTATATCTTTGTGTGTTTCCATTAATACTGTATTGTGGGCATTCAGGTTAAATCGTAAATGAAAAATATTAACTGCTACTTGTAGCTATATATGTAGAAATATGTTGTTGTGAAGTGCCCTCAAGTCAGTTCTGACCCATAGTGACCCTGTATAGGGTTTCCAAGGAGCAGCTGGTGAGCTTGAACCACTGGCTTTGTAGACTGGCACATTAACCCACAGTGCCACACCAGGACTAGAAAGTGCTCTGAATCTTCATTATAAGTTTGTGACTATCCCTGTGGTTATGCTGTTAGATCTTTTAGGAGAGTGTTTTGAGTGTTTGGTTTCTAGATTGGAAATACTGCCATCCTTTTCAGTGCTAGTCTCTTGTGAAGAGGGTTCCTACCTGCTGACTGGTCCTATCTTGGACACTTAAGTCTTGGCATTACTACATGGTTTCTGTGTTCCAGCTGTGCCCCAGCGAGCAGGCCGCAAGGTGGTGGAGACCATTGACAAGCTGGTGATGCGCATTGTGGAAGGCAGCCTGTCTCCCAGAGAGAGAGCTGCACTCAAGGAGGATCCTGCTTACTGGTAGGTTTTCACATGCGACAATGACATATCCCTCCCATAGAGCTGGTGGGGGCAGAGGCAGAGTATATGACACTTGGAGTGGTGCAGCTAGAAGAGCATAGCTTTGGGCTACGCTTTAGATAAGGCCAGGCTCCCGGCTCTGACACATCTGCCCAACTATGGGAAGGGTATAGGTCTAGGAGCACATCACACATACCTGGGTCCAATCTCCCATCTCTGCTGGGTCTTTGAGATGGTGGATATGGCTGGCCAGGCCTATCTGGGAACGAGGTGTGCTATAACTGTGAGAGCAGCTACGTGGTTGGGGTGTCACCATCATTGTTAGTGACATACTACTGATGTTCTGTGTCTATGATACTCTCCTTTTGCCTTATTGCCTCTTTTTAGGCATAGGATAGCTTTGGTAAATCACAAATCGGGCTGTGAACCTCAGGGTCAGCATTTCGAAACTACCAGCTGTTTAGTGGAGGTAAGATGAGACAGTCTGCTCCTGTAAAGATTTACAGCCTTGGAAACCCTGTACAGGGTCACTTATGAATTGGAACAGACTCCGCAGCACATAACCACCACCACCACTACTGGGAAAAGAAAAGCAGAATGGGCAGGGGGAATTGCCTGTGTGCCTGCTTTTCACTGACATATTTGTTTGTGCTCTTTATGCTCATGGTAGGGAGTTTTAGTTTTCTGATTTTAATATTTTGATTAAGACTACTTTTTCTAGATTAACTTGGGAATTTGTTTGTATTACATACGTTGCTATTAAGTGCTTCTGAGTCGGTTCCAACTCAGAGCAACCCTGTATAGGGTTTCTGGGGCTTTAAATCTTTGAGAGAGCAGAAAGCCTCATCTTTCTTCCAAGGAGTGGCTAATGGACTCAAACTGCTGACCTTGTGGTTCATAGTCCACTGCTTATCATATGGCACCTCCACACTCCCATTACATATGAGGGGGCTTTAAAAAGTTCTTGGAAAAATGGAATTTAAAGATAATGGAATTTTTCCATGAACTTTTTGAAGCCCCCCCCTATGTAAACATTATATCAAATAGTGGCATTTTCATCCATAACATAGATTAATCAGTTTATTTAAACCCTTCTGCTCTTGTTGGACTTTTTGGAATTCACTTATACAATTAAAAATATATATATTTTTTTTTTTGGTAAAAAATACATATAGTACAACATTTTCCAAATTGCATTTTTTTACACAATTGTGCACTGTTTTAAAGTGCTTCAATGAATAGCTAATGTGCCAAAAGTGGAAAGTTTTGTAGTTCATTAACTTAAAATTTTATATGTGGCATGTGCCCCTTGTAAAAACAGAAGTTTTAAGGCAAAGATAACAATCACTGTGTCATTCAGAATTAAACACAGTTATTAGCATTGGAGACATTTTCCCTCTCACCCTTTTTATCCCCACAGTGTGTGCTCTATATTTGGTGTCCTATGTTTTTCACTTCGCATAATTGTCCTTTCTGTAGACAGACGATTGCATAGTCTTCCAGACCTACTCACCTTATTTTTTAAGTTTTTATTGTGAATTGAGTGATAGTTTACATGGCAGAGCATCAACTTTACATTCATCCTATCGTATTTCATTTCATTGCAATGATTACAATCCCCTCCATGTATCATCACTCAACAGCATTTGCTTCCAGTCCCTTTGTTTGTTTGTTTATATACACCAAAGCACTCAGGAATATATAACCATTCAAACAACCAAAGGGCATACCCTGCAAACCTGCCCCCCGGCCGCCAGCACACAGCCCTTCTCCTTCCTTGAGTCTAGAGTCCCCAGCCTCCACGTCATCATCTCTGCCTTCATCTCTGGCATCGCTGCTTCTCTTCTGGATAGGGTCCTGCACTCTGCTCTTCTCCCTTGATGGATGAACGATCCTTTGAGGATGTTGAGCAGCATCCCTGTCCCTGATGTCAGTAATGCCCCGCATCCTGGCTGTGACAAGAAATATCTCTAGATGATGCCCAGGCCGGGTTGTCCTGGTTGCGACCATCAGCCTATACTAACTACAGTTAGTTACAAGAATATCAGGTCCCATATGAGTGCAGCATTACTACAAAAGATGTGAAGCAAGAGGAACTACAACTAGATGTCCTATAGAGACTTGCCTAGGCTGGTAACTTATGCTTGTTAATTAACAAAGGAAGATTAGCCAAACATCACAGTATGTTTATATTTTTATGAATTTTTTCCTTCTATCTTTCTCTCAGTTTGTTGAAGGTACCTCAGTAGTAGTTTATATTCCTGATCAAGTAGCTCTAATTCTATTTCTGGTGTTAGATTTTCTGCTCTGTTTTTTGGTCACTTGTTTTGAGGCACTCTATCTTCTTAATTCCACCACTCATTTGTCATTTTGTCGTACTGCGGTGACTTGTGTATTGCAGTGATTTCTGGAAGCTTTGCCACTGGTATTTTTAAGTACTAGAAGGATCACCCATGATGGACAGGTCTGAACTTCCAGACAAAGATTAGGAAGAAGGAGAGATAGACTACTGAATATTCAGTCTCTGTAAACCTTATGAGTAGCAGTGGAATACTGTCAGCACCAAATTATTTAAACATGACGAACAACACCAAAATATTAACTGATAACAGTGCCAGAAGGTAAGCCCCTTGGGTTTGCAACTGAGGAAGAGCTGCCTCCTCAAAGTAGAGTCGACTGTGATGGTGCAAATAGAGTACAGCTCTCAGGACCATCATTTGCTGATGGGGCACAACTCAAAATGAAGAGAAACAGCTGTAAATATCCATTAATCATCAGAACATGGAATATATGAAGGTAGGAATCTAGGAAAATTAGAAGTGATAAAAAAATGGAACACATAAACATTGATATCCTGGACATTAGTGAGCTGAAATGGACTAGCATTGACTATTTTGAATCTTGACAGTCACATTGTTTACTATGCCAGAAATGACAAATTGAAGAAGAATGGCATCACATTCATCATCAGAAAGAACATATTAAGGTTTGTCTTGGAAATAGAGCCTTTCTGTGATAGGATAATATCCATAAACCTACAAGGAACAGAACATGGGAACACTGAATGGTTTAAAATTAAGAAAGGTATGCGACAGGGTTGTATTCTTTCACCATACGTATTCAACCTGTATGCTGAGCAGATAATCAGCGAAGCTGGGTTATATGACGAAAAACGTGGCGTCAGGATTGGAGGAAGACTCACTAACAACCTGCAATGTGCAGATGATACAACCTTACTTACTGAAAGTGAAGAGGACTTAAAATACTTACTGGTGAAGCTCATAGACCACAGCCTTTGGTATGGATTATGTCTCAATGTAAAGAACAACAAAAATTCTCACCACTAGACCAATCAACAGCATTCTTATTAACGAAGAAAAGATAGAAGTTTTCAAGGCCTTAATTCTTCTTGGATCAACCATAAACATTAATGGAAGCAGCGGTCAAGAAATCGGACGACATAATGCATTAGGCAGATCTGCTGCATAAGACCTTTTCAAAGTATTGAAGAGCAAAGATGTCAACTTGAAGACTAAGGTACACCTGACTCAAGCCATGGTATTTTCAGTAACCTCATATGCATGCGAAAACAGGGCAGTGAATAAGGAAAACTGTAGAAGAATTGCTGTTTTTGAGTTTTGGTGTTGGAGAATATTGAAAGTACCATGGGCTGCCAAAAGAACCAACAGATCTTTGTTGGAAGAAGTGCAGCCAGAGTGCTCCTTGGAGGCCATGGTGGACAAACTTCATCTCATACTTTGGACATATTGTCAGGAGGGACCAGTCATTGGAGAAAGAAGGATACCATGTTTGGTAAGGTGAATGGTCAGATAAAAAAAGGAAGACCTCCAGCAAGATGGATTGGCAAAGTGGAGCATCAATGGGCTCAAGAGTGGCAACGATTGTGAGGTTGCCCAGGACCGGGCAGTGTTTCCTTCTATTGTGCATAGGGTCCCTATGAGTCGATACTGACTCAATGGCACCTAACAACAACAACAACAAGGAATACTAGTTAATACCATTAATATTCAAATGCACACCAACCAGTAAAGCCAATCATGATATAATTGACGAATTCTTCCAACTTCTTCAGTCTGAAATTGATCAAATGTAATCAAGATGTATTGATAATTATTGGTGATTGGAACGCAAAGGTTGGAAAGGATCATTAGTTGGAAAATATGAATTTGATGATAGAAACAATGCTGGAGGTTGCATGATAGAATTTTGCAAGACCAGTGACTTCAGATAACTATGCACATGGACCTCAGAGATGGAATACACAGAAATCAAATTGACTACATCTGTGAAAAGAGATGGATTGGGGGAAAGCTCTATATCATCAGCCAAAACAAGGCCAGGGACAGACTATGGAATAAACCATCAATTGCATATATGCAAGTTCAGACTGAAGCTGAAGAAAATTAAAACAAGTCCATGAGAGCCAAAATAATGACCTTGAACATATCTCACCTGAGTTTAGAAATCTCATGAAGGGATTTGATGCATTAGACACTAAAGACCGAAGACCAGAAGAGTTGCCAGATGACATCATATAGAAAGAAAGCAAAAGGTCATTAAGAAGACAATAAAGAAGGAAAAGACCAAAATGGATGTCAGAAAAGACTCTGAAACTTGTTTTCCAGTGTAGAGCTGCTAAAGCAAATGGAAGAAATGAGGAGGTACAAAAGCTGAATCGAAAATTTCAAAGGTCAACTTGACAAGACAGAGTCAAGTATTATAATGAAATGTGCAAAGACCTGGAGGTAGAAAACCAAAAGGGAAGACCACACTCAGCACTTTTTAAGCTTAGGGAGCTGAAGAAAAAATATCAAAAGAAGATGGAAGGTAGCAATGAAATGACATATGATAGGATGAATGTAAAATTAATGTTCTCCCAAGTAACCTATCACATAATTCACAATAAAACATTTTGAAAAAAAAAAGATGGGAGGAGTGCACAGTCACTGTATCAAAAAGAAATAGTTGATGTTCAATCA